CCCCAAAACCCCAAAACCCCAAAACCCCAAAACCCCTGCATTAATTAATATTATTGAAAATGGAACGAAATCTTGACAAGAAAGCTGCCAAACAAAGCACAACTGTAGGCCTAGTCAGTGAAACCACCAAGAAGTATCTCAGCGACAAATCCATTGAGAAATAGAAAGCAGGCTGCCACTGAAGTCGGAGAAATCGTCGATGACCTTGTCGGACAGAACAAAGAGACAGACATCAAAAGATTTATCGAAGAGTTCTCACTGATGACCAACGAAGAGATGCCCCAGAGAAGGAGAACTGGCCTGTACGGAATCAGCGCTATTGCTGTTGCTTTGTATCAGAAAGGCACTTCCGAGTATTTGTCGCTGCTTCTGAACCCGGTGATGAGCAAGTTCAGCGACAGAGAGCCCAAAGTACAGCTGGCTGCATGAGATGCCATGTTTAACATTTTGATGGTTTGCAAAGAAGACATCATTTTTGACAAGTCGTTTCCAATTACCTTTGACAGGATCGTGTCCATTGTGTCATATCCGAACAACGATGTCAAAGACTGGGGCAGGAAACTCGTCGAGCAGCTCGAAGACATCGTGTATGGAGCATTGGTCAAGAACAATATTTTCGATCTGGATTCGCTGCTCGACACCATTTACACGAAGCTGTCAAAGTCTAAAAACCAAGACATTTCGCTGGTGCTGATCAGGTGGATTGAGACGCTTAGCTCAATGACCAATGTCGACATTCTGAAGTGTCTACCGAGGTTTCTGGAGCGGTTCTTTGAAATCATGAGCACCAACGCCAAACATGATGTGTATGACTTAACTTACAACCAGCTGAACGTGTTCTTGAAAGACTACCAGGAGTGCCAGAGCAGATCAGTCGAACTAGACATTCAGATTCTGCGCAAAGCCTTGAAGTTCTTACTAAAGAAGAAGAGTCTCGACATCGACCAGAGTAGGTATTTAGCTATTATCTGGTTGGAAGAGTTCTTGAAGTTTTTCAACGAAGATCTTGTAAAAGAGGTCGCCTTTGAAGATCTGAAAGATGATAAAGTGGAGTTTTATGAGTCTGACGACTCTCTGCCACAATTTGGAAATTTTGAAGAAGAAAAAGGAGGGCCTGAAGAAGATAAGGAAGAATCAAAGGATATGGAAGCAGAGAGAGCACAAATGAGAGAAGAACTAGGATCACGACTATTCCCAGAAATGCTGAATTGTGTTCTATACTACATCAATACAGGAAATACAGAGGTTGTGGCAATTCTTGGAAGAATCAACACTCTTCTTCAAAAACTAGTGATAGTAATAAATTTAAAGATTACATCACCTAAAACAAACAAAAATGAACTTGATCCTATTCTTGTATGATTGCGAAAAAATTTTATTAAAGGAAAAGTAAAGACAAAGGAAATTTGTATTGGTTGGTTCACTGAATTATTCAAGCACTACTCTGATACCCTTCTCAACAAGGAAGATGAAATTCTTGAAAATATCATTCAAAGTATCAACTTTAAGGAGTCTAAATTGACGGAAAGTGTTCTTCAGCTTTTGTGTCTTATGTCAAGCAAGAACCAGCAATTTCTCAAAGAAATTGTCGAAATGCTATTGAAAAGGTTTAATAATGAAAAAGACATCGAAATGGAATATATAAACAACTTAATTCACATCATGTGCTCCAATATCGACCAAAAATTGGTCTTTTCAGAATTTGCGATAGAAATAATGAAATTCAATAACTACCAATTCGTATCATTTATGATTGAAATATTGGATCTCATTCTCTCTGGAGCGCCAGTATATCAACCACTAAGAGATATACTTAGCAAGGAGAAGAAGGAGCCTGAAGATAAGGAATTTTTCACAACTCTGTTCAATACTTGGTGATTTAACCCTCTTTCAGCACTAAATTTATGCTTCCTTGCTAAGAAATATAAGCTTGCTTATCACCTTTTGCTCTGAATAGGAGATAATATGACTTTTGATAAGGATAAGCTTATCCAGTTGTGAAACATAGTGCAACTAATAGAGAGCCCTGCCTTTCTTGAGCTAAGAATTGACTTGCTTGATCCTGGAAAGAACTACTACTTAATCAAAACTCTTCAAGGAATACTCCTAATGATCCCAATCAGCAAGGCCTTTAATGCGTTAAAAACTAGGCTGGAATGAGTTAATCTGGACCCGAGGGCTTCTTTCGCAGTTGAAGCAATGGAGATCCAAGAAACAGAGAACCCTAATGAGGAAGATGAGAAGGAAATACAAGAATGCTTGACTATGTTCAAAAATTCCATTGATTTAGCAAAAGATTCCAATAAAAAGTCAGGATAATTATTTCAATCGCAAGGATACTTTACGGGGTTTTGGGGTTTTGGGGTTTTGGGG